ATTGGATTCCCCTGAATGAGAAGAGCAGTAATCTCCTCTACCTGGGGATGACTGAGAAATGAAAATAAGCGTCCATAGGTTTATGGATTTGGACCTCTCACCAGGACACACACACTCCAGCAATAAAGCATGCTTTATTGTGAGCATGTGAAATAGTCTCTTAATAAGAACTTTGTTGAAGAGGATAATAATAAAATTTGTTGTGGGATCAAACACATAACCCTCACATTGAGAGTCCTGTACTCTACAAACTAAGCTAACAGGAACACTGACAACAACCCTGAAATTATCCTAAAATTAACTTACTTGCCTTCAGAAATTCAGTTCAACACTGGCATGTCATCTGTTATTGCTTATCATGGATTAAATATACTATTCATGTGTTGTGTCTTATTTTCTCTGGTGTAGAGCTTTGGGGTTACACTTTAGTCCTTTTTTACTGATTTGATGCATTTTTCAATTTGCCGATCTTAACGCAGATGGTGAGAGTGTGGACACTTGGCTGAAATGTATTTATCTTTAATTAATTAGGCCTACTTGCCAATGATGTTGATCTGCACATGCCGGTACTAACTTTCTTTGCTTTCTATCCTAAAATGAATAAATTGTTTCCATTGCTGAGATAATTTTGCAAGAAGAGGGACATTGTGTTTCAACTTCAAAATGTACATCTTCTTCATGAGATGTAGGCCTATGCCATTACTTTTATTTCTGATATCTGTAATGGCATAAAGACTGTATTTGAGCTTTCAACTCTGAAAATGTTGTTCATGGCATTTGCTTTGTTTAGCTTGGGAAATATTTACTTCCAAAGTTTAATCAGTGTGTCACTGATCAAGAGCAGCTAGAGTGTGGAGCAGAGCTTTTGGCAGACCAGAATAAAATTTCCAAAATTGTGCACATTCATCTATATAAGCACATAAAAGGCATCAAAATGTAGCCACAAGCCTTTTTTCTCTCAAAATGTCAACATCTAGTATTTGAGACTGAAATCTACAGTTTTCATCTGCTGCAATAGAAACTGCAGAGTGACTTGTACTCATCTCCCCAATTCTTAAACTTGCAAAATCTTTATGTTTGTTGTGTGGAAACATGCTTTTATTCTCATGCTCAGCTACTCAAGCTCTAACTAAAAATACACAACAGTTCAGTTGTAAATGTCTCATTTTCTAAATGTAATCAGTGTTTATGGACATCAGTGTTTCTTCAGAGTAGTTATTTTATGTCTTTATTTTATTCCAGTGGTACAGGAAAAGTCAGAGGATCACCAAAGTCAGTAGGCTTCTTTCTCTGTGGTCAATGAATGTCAAAGGTTCCATCTAATGATTTTTGAGATATTTCAGTCTGGAACAAAGCGGTGGATCCATAACGATAAGGCACTCTCAGATTACAGTCCAGATTACAGTACATATTTACATTTTCCAGTTAGTGACACGTAGTTAACACTTCAGATGCAAACAATTATACATTCTGTGCAATAGGTGACGCAGTGTGAAAATTTTAGCAAAGTCGCTGTTTTATTGGACCATAGTCAGCACAACTTGCATTTATATTATCAACACTTAATAAAAGACAACTTAGAGTTGGAGGACTGGCAAATTAGCATTGTTTTATGATTGATAAACTGTGTATCTAGCAGCCTGATGACAACAAATGAACAGACAAAACATATACTGCAATTAAATGAAAGTGTTTGTGCGGTTCAAACCATACATTCATCAGCTTAAAACAATGTATAACGTAATATTCACCTTGATGTACTAATATCACCTTGACAATGTTAAAGAGTGAACTCCACATTTTTCAGGATCCAAGGATCAGCAGGTTTTAGTAAAATCTCAGTTTGGGATCTGCTAGTATCAGCAGCAGTCACGGTCACAAGAGCACTGGTTTCACTGGTTTCCCACATGTTGCTGATATCTCAGCTAGAATCTGTACTGACCGCTTACATGCACACCATCCACATTACTCTGCCAGTCTGCTGGGTCCTTTTTAGACTGAGTGGTCAAACATTATTGAGGGTGGTGATGGTGCATAGATAAGATGTTTGCCTTTGGTGTGGGAGACCTGGGTTCGATTCCCACTGTGAGACATCCACCATTGTGTCCCTGAGCAAGACACTTAACCCCTAGTTGCTCCAGAGGCGTGCGTGTGTATAGCAATTGTAAGTCGCTTTAAATGAATAAATGTAAATGCAAACACAGAAAATATCAAGTGGTTGAAAGTAACCACATACATCTATTCAAGTGTTGTTCTAATTAAGTACAATGTTCAGTTGCTTTGTACTTCTACTCCATTACATGTCAGAATATAATATTGTCTTATTTGGCAGCTTACTTGATATTTTGGAGATTTTGAGTTTACATGATGATGTTTTTATAAAACATGATGTATTGTGATAGATTAAGTTGCCAATGTGAGCTTTATTTTGACCAACTATATTAAAATGCTTCTTAATAAAGAATATGAATCAAGCAGTATAGCATATATAATAATATAACACTCTAAAAGCAGTTGTTGTACACAACGAGTACTTTCACTTTTGATACTTTGGAAATTTGCAGATTCAACTTTTGTACTTTTACAAATGTGTAATTCAGAACTTTTACTTGCAAAGGAGAATTTATGTAAAGGGTGGATATAAAGGTGGAAGAAGTATTTAGACTATATAGACTATGTAGAAGTGCATTACTTGAGTACATTACTTTTTGTTTTAGTGATTGTACATAAGAAGAGAAATATAAAAATCATTATGTAGACAGAAAAAAAATGGCATTTTTAAGATGATGTTGTTTCATGGAGTCCTATTTAATCTTTGTTTAAAAGTGCTAAAGAAGAAACTGAGAAAAATACATTTAAATGCACTTTTTATTTTCAAAAACAATGTTGTTTACATACACTTAACAACAAGCATTTTTTTCTTTTGTTCTCCCCACACACACTGCCTATGCAAATAATAATAATAATAGTAATGAGTCTTGAGTCTGTCGAGAGAAGACACTGAAGGGTCGCATCTTGTGTAGAATTTGTGTATTGACCTTCTAATGGACTATTTTATCTTTTCTAGCCTTAGGGATAGTACCAGGTCACTCATTCAAACTAAAGCTTTGGGTGGATGTTCAGATTTCCACTCTAACAAGATCCTTCTTCAAGATCCTTCCTTGAAGTTGACCCATTTAACATATTTAATGCATTATTCCATATTTCATCAGAGATAACTACTCCAAGTACTTCAAACAGTCTGCTCGAATCATATTAAGAAATACATTATTGAGGGACATAATAGAATAATATATATTTGAGGTAAGACCCCTAACGTGTGCAGGAATTTGCAAAATTACTTCTAGCTCAGTTCTAGGCGGGAGACTGGGAAAGGATTGGCTAATAGATCGCATAAAGTGACAAACCTGGAAATAGCGGAAAAGGCTAGAGTGTTGTAATTTGAATTTGGTATAAAGGGCATTAAAGGTAGCAAAAGTGCCATCTGTGTAAAGGTCACTGACTTTGTAGAGGCCTGCTCTTTGCCACTGGGCAAAGACAGGATCCAATTTGGCAGGGAGAAAGGCATGGTCATTACATATGGGACTATCAACAGAGAAATCTATCAGATTAAACTTTGTCTAAACTGAGACCAGATCCTAAGGGTGGAAGTCACAACAGGGCATGATGAGTATTGTTTAGGAGACAGGGGTAGTTTGGCAGCAACCAGTGCAGGAAGTGATGATGATGAGCAGGTACTTGCTTCCAATTGGCACCAGATCGCGTTTGGGACCTGAATCCAATGAATAATTTTTTGTAGATCTGACGCCCAGAAATACGCCCTATGTCTCTGAAGCAGTACCTTACGAACCCTGGGGTGCTTGTTATTCCACAAAAAAGAAGATATCAGACTATCAACAGATCTAAAAAAGGATTTTGGCCTCAGCCAAAGAAGCTCTTCTTCTATGAGAGAATTTGAGGTAGAAATGAAACTTACGGCTGTCCTTCGACCTCACCTAGATGGCGGCCCGCCGGACGGTCTCTGTGGACACGAATGGCCGCTGTTTTTGGACGGAAACCAGCTAGAACAGCGAAAATCGATTACGCGCCCCGTAGCGGGTCTGTTCGTTCTAAAGAGCTCATAGTACCTTACTATCCCACCAGAGCACTGCTCTCCCAAAATGTAGGGTTACTTGTGGTTAGTGATGGGAAAAGTCACTCTTTTGAAAGACTTGAGTCACCAAATCTCGTTCATTAAAATGAACTAATCTTTTTTTGTGTCATTTCATTCATTTCGTTCTTTTTAACTAAGCTCTAATTGACAAAGTATAATGCACAAATTCAACACCTCTTGAACTTTCTCTATCATGGTTCTATAAAGCCCCATGGAGCCACAACCGAATTCAAACCATGTAAAAACAACAGAAATATGTTGTCAATATTCAATTAAGCCACTACTCCGGCTAAATCCGTTCATTTTCACAATCTTTCCTGAGTATACTACCAGACCAGCCATATATATATAATTATAATTACAAAAGTAATTATAACAAATTACAACAGTAATACAAAAATAGAAATAATGCAATTTGGACAATCATGCCTTAATATCAGGTTGAATTAAAAACCGGGCTCAGACTTACATGCTTGCAATTTTCAAACAGGTTTCCATAATGGTTCACTAGAAACAATAACCCTAATGTGTTGACTTTCATGATGTTGCAGAATTTTCATAGTGGCCATGCAGGTTTTAGGGTTAGTTAGTGGAATGCAGATAGACCTGGTGATAACAAAGAGATATACAGGGATTAGGGACTGGTCCAATGTCATTTCACTTTTAAGGTGAAAGAATACAACCAATCATTTCAGATCAGTGTGATAAATGTGTCCCTTTTAGGGTGAGTTGAACCTTAAAGCACAATTTTGTGGTGAAAATCTACCTGCTCATTTCGCCTCACTCTCTTTTTCTTACCTGTCTGCTATTCACTCATCCTCCCTCTCCACCCATTCATTCTCAATCCCTCCACGTCTCCTCCTTCTTGGCTGGGTCATATATAATGGTCATGCCACAGGGATTTCACTTATCCTCTGGGACATTTCATAGGTTTTGGTCAAGTGTTATGACTATCACTAGAAGTTGAGGAGTAGCACTATTACTGTTTAACGGTAAGACTAAGACACTTTCTTCTTTTTGGTTATGTTTGTTATGGTATTTTATTTTGAAAACAATACAACTGAACAAAATAGATACCAAAATAATGGACTGCAAAATTTATTTCATTTTTGTGTTTTTTCAATTCACTGCTTCGCTCTCTGTGCGTTCAACGTGGCCCTCACCTTTCGTTTGTTTCTTCCAGTCGAAATCAGGTGTCAATGTCTTCGTCTCTGGCCAGATCTGTTCTGTGTGAGCTCAACCATTGGTGGAGCCATTTGAGGTTTCGCGTTCAAAACAAGAAAGGATGGAACGAGATGTTGGATGAGACTTTTTTGCTCTATACCAAATAGTAAGAAACTCCACTCTTTTCTACAAGAAATTAGATTATGTCTAAATTAATTACATGCAGGTGTGATTATTTATTAAATAGGATACTATTTAATAAATAAATAATCACATCTGTTGTTTTTCTTCTATCCATCTTCCCTCAGCGTAAATGACATTCCTCTCTTCTTTGCGGCTAAAGAGAACAGTGTTGGTTGTATCAAGAAACTTCTGAGTTGTGCGTCCACTAATATCTTTGAGAGAGGTAAGGCTGAACTGTGAATTTATACTTGTCTTGTTATCTTAGGGTAGTGCGGTGACAGTTGTAATCTGTGAAACTGTAATCCTCTCACTCAGGTGCTCTTGGTGAGACAGCGCTTCATGTTGCTGTGATGTACGATAACCTGGAGGCTGCTGTTGCTCTGATGGACGGAGCTCCTGAACTCATCAATGAGCCCATGATCACCGAGCTCTTCCAAGGTCACATATGAACTCAAACACACATCATGAGGTTTAAATATTGTATGTGTCCACAGGTAAAGTCAGCTTCACGGTCAGCAACTAAAAAGTAATTTGAGACAAACTAAGATATTAGAGATTAATAATAATATTTTAGGTGAAAAACATTGGTAAGTAAAAAAAAATTATCAGGGCAGGGCAATGAAAACTGGCAGGAAAACACACAAAGGTAGTAAACAATTAATGTGAACAGTTACATTTAAGCGTTCAGATGGACATGGAAAGTTTAGGTTTGCCTAGAAAAATCCATTTACAAAATGCATTTATTACACTTGTGAAGGTGTCAGATATGATAACTTATTACTAGCAAACTTGTTATTAGCAAATGTGACAATATAACAAATAACTACGTCACTTACCTTTATTACTTCATATGAGTCAATGTTTTAATACCTGAAATGTGAATTATTTACAAAAGCATGTAACCAATAAACAACATCAACAACAGTTTACAGTAGCGAATTCTTTGCAGCCTCTACCGCTCACCTTAAGAGACTGGGACCAAGCACAAATACTCATTTTGCTCATAGGTTTAACAGGTGAAACTGGTGAAATTAAACACAATTAATTCACAGTGGACTAACATACACTGATCTCCCTACTCTCTCAGGTGTAACTCCTCTCCACATTGCTGTAGTGAATCAGAACATCGATCTGGTTCATCATCTGATTAGTCGAGGGGGTGATGTGGCTACACCTCGAGTCACCGGTCTGTACTTCAGGAAGAGGTTAGGAGGACTCATATACTATGGTGAGTCAGCCAGCTTATGTTAAAATGTATGAATGCATTTGCCAAGTAAATATAATGTATGTCTATATGACACAAAACTGTTTTTCAAAATGTACTTGGTCAACAGGTGAGCACATCCTGTCTTTTGCTGCATGTACTGGGAATGAGAGCATTATCTCCACGGTAATTGATGCAGGGGCCAGCACCAGGGTCCAGGATTACCGTGGTATGAAATTACTTCCTCTTGTAGGAAAGTTATAGAGAAGTACATAACAATTTTACATCTGTGTATAAAATATTTTGATTATTAATGGCCTTCTGTTTTTTCTCTCCTTGTATTCCCTTATTTTCTGTCTAGGTAACACAGTGCTTCACATTTTGGTTCTGCAGCCCAACAAGATGATTGCATGCCAGTCCATAGACCTGATTATGGCATGTGATGCAGAGCTGGACCAGTCAGTGTCACTCGACATGGTGCCCAACTACAGAGGCCTTACACCTTTTAAACTGGCTGCCAAAGAGGGAAACATTGTGGTAAGTGAAGGGGGAGCTCACAGTGTATGTAATTGTAAACCAAAATTTAATTTTTAACTATTGTATACTGTATTATATTGTATTAGTTCTACTATTTTAGGATTCCTAACAACATCAGGCGCAGGGGCTCCCGATGAAAACTAGCCTATGCCTAACTCGGGTATATTTACATTTTGTCTGAATTTTTATCGATGTACATTGTCCCTTCTTAAATAAACTATAAATAAATTACAAAAACAGGATGAAAACCCGAAATGAAAGACGTAGCAGATAAAATTTCAATAATCCGATCCTCACCGCTGTGATTCCCTCTGTGTCTCTCAGGTCTTTGAGCACCTGGTTAATAAAAGGCGTGTAGTACAGTGGACTCTGGGCCCTTTGACCTCTAACCTGTATGATCTGACAGAGATCGACTCATGGGACGACAACAAGTCAGTACTGGAGCTCATAGTGGGCAGTCACAAGAGAGAGGTACAACACAAGAATGTTATATACTAAACAGTAAACTGTATTTTGGTTAACTCACAGACTATTTGGTTAGAAATAATGACAATGATGTGATGCTGAGAAGAAATGAGAACAAATGTCTGTTTTTTTCTCCAGTCAAGAGAAATATTGCTGGTGACCCCCGTGAAGCAGCTGGTTAGTCTGAAGTGGAACCTGTATGGAAAACATTACTTCAGGTAAAAATGACGTCAGTGTCTAAGGTAAAAAATCTAAACTGTACACACATCTTTTTTAATAATGTTTTTTTCTCTTGTGTCAGGCTGCTGCTGTTACTGTATCTCCTGTACATCGGGACCTTCACACTGTGTTGTGTATTTCGCCCTCTAAAGGATGCTCCAGAGAACTACACAACGTCAGACATGGACAAAACCACCCGAGTCCAGAAAACACTCAAAGTTGAGTCATAAATACACTGCATGAATGTGACATTTCAGTGTAACCAGATAAAACTACGATATGTTGTAATAAAGGGCCATAAACGGGGGTGAAATATAAATATACTTGCTTAAGTCCAACCGTACTATACTTAAGTACTTCCATTTTATACAACTTTGTACTTCCTAATCCACTTTACATATAAATGAATGTTCATTCCATTCAAGCCCTTGCCAAACGAGTTGCCACAATGCTGATAAAGCCTATCACTGCCAGGTAAATCTCTCTGTACTCAAAATATATCAGAGTTTGTGTGTGATTAGACGTTCCACGCAAAGAGTTATTTTATGCTAACCGGTTGGATTGCAGGAGCGACTCAGCAACTAAATGGCACAGCCTATAAGTCATAAGCACGTGTGGACAGTGTTATTTACTCTCACTCTCAGAAGGGGGGGACAAAAGAGGCATTTTTCTTGCCATTATTTTCAGGACAGAGAACCAATGTTCATGCAGTTTAAATACATGGTGATAAAGATGAAGTAAAACCAAACTCTACTCACACAGATAATATAAAACTACAAAAAAGACTTTAGCTCTTGGTTGGACCTAATCTGTTCATATGTAGCCTATACTTGTGTAAATAACTTTGAATATGACTTATAGTTCAATAATCTATATTTTTCTCTCTCTCTGTGGATCAGGAGAGTTATGTGACGTATGATGACAACCTGCGGCTGGTGGGCGAAATCATCAGCGTCATCGGAGCTTTTCTCATCCTGTTGCTGGAGGTGAATTTATGAAACAACATCTTAAACACTGTATGGTAATACAGTCTATTGCACTTCCACATCCTCCTGTACAATCTTTCCCAACAGATCCCTGGTATACTGAGAGTGGGAGCAAAGCGCTATTTTGGTCAGACAGCACTGGGAGGCCCCTTTCATGTTATTCTGTAAGTAGAAATACTTCTAAGCAGTAAAATAATGCATGTTGATCTGAAATAGCTTTTAACCTTTCTGCTGTTGTTTTGATCAGTATCACCTATGCATGTTTGGTGTTGCTGCTGTTGGTGTTCAGAATCTGCGAAGTGCATGGAGAGAGAGAGGTAATGGCAGTGTCTTTAGTTCTTGGCTGGTGCAACGTCATGTACTTCGCCCGAGGTTTTGAAACACTCGGCCCTCATGTCATCTTGATACAGAAGGTAGGACTCGCTCAGCCTGGACTCACTACTGCGTGTTGTACACACAGTGATGTATGCTATAGGTGCTCATGCAGATATAGTTTTTTCCACACACACCTGTACAGAAATGATTTTGAAACAGATGTATTTTGTTGTTTTGGTTTTTGAGGTTCACCTATTTGTGTTTGCAGACTGACCTACCTAGTGTCTCATTTCCCCCTAGATTATATTTGGAGACTTGACAAAGTTCATGTGGCTGAGTTTCATTATGCTCATAGGTTTTTCCAGCGGTAAGTATATTCTGAGCAACATGTGTAAAACAAATGTTTAACCCTCACAAAGCTTGTAAGATAAGAAATTCTTGAAAGAAGAGGATTCTGTTCCTTCACATACTTTTTAAAATTGTTTCTTCTCAGCTTTGTGGGTCGTGTATATGACCCAAGATCCTACATCCCTTCCCCAATATCGCTCCTTCCCCATCACCCTCTTCTCCCTGTATGAGCTCAGCATGGGCCTCATAGATATGCCTGTGGACCACTCCTTCACTACCCCCCCGATCGTCCATGTGCTCCACTCCACCTTGTCTGTGGTCTGCTGCCTCTTTCTGCTAAATCTACTGACAGCCATGATGAGTGACACACAAGAAAGGGTGGCCGAGGAGAGAAAAGAGCTGTGGTGGACTCAGGTAATACACACGGGGACTTTAAAGGAATGCGTCTAAACAGAAATAACACAACATAAAGGCACAGAAACACCTCATCATCGTGTCCCTGTGTGTTACTGTGTCATGGTTACAGCTGCAATAATGTTGTACAGGTGGTAGCCACAACTTTGATGCTGGAGAGGAGGCTTCCTCGCTGCCTGTGGTCTCGGATCGGGGTGTGTGGGCTCAACTATGGTCTGAAGGAGTGCTGGTATCTCAGGTAAGACAGTACTGCTGCAACAGGAACAGAAACAGAGGCTTTAAAGCCCCTGAAGAAGTTTCTGTAATGGTAAATATTCATTACTAAATGTGTAACAATTAAACTTAACATTTTTTGATTAAAAAAATATTTTTCCAACTGAGTCCCGCACACTTTAAACAATCCAGAAAAGCACAGAAGAGAACACTTACATGTGAAATGCCTAAAAGTGAACCTCATTGACTATTACAACCTAAGTAGTCTTTATTGCACTTCAGCTACAAGGCATGTTGTGCTGCAAGTAAGACTACAGTTTTACACATGCTATATCATGTGGGTAATCAAGAGGCAAATTAAATGGACACTTTATTTTTTATGTAAACAGTTTACTACTAATCCTCTGCCTGTGTAAACAGTTGTAGCATGTCTACATTGATGTAATAAATTTATGAGAATTATCTCGTTTCGGGGCACCACCGGAGTTGTAATTAACCTAGAGTCTCCGGACCTCTGGGTAGCTTTTAATAATAATACAATTATTCACTAGTGATCAGTTAGTTAATAATTGCTCAGTTATCTTAAATCAGTCAGTCAGTCTCATATCTAAGGGGTAAAGTCTCTGGACAGGGACTTACAGATAGGCACACACAATTCCTTGGTTACAGTGAATTTATTAACTAACTAAGGTGATATAAAAATGTGGTTAAATACATCAAATAAATAAACAATGGCTAACTAATGAGAATGTGGGTTTCGATTGTGGGAGAATTTGACTCATACGGCAACTAATGAATGCGATTAGATGATAACTCGGTTAAATTTGTCTAGGAGTTTCAAGGATTAAATATGCTGGACTAACCAACTATTGGACATCACTGATCACAGAGTGCAGGGTTTTGGTCTTACTGCATGTGGCTTTTCCCAGCCGAGTGTTGGTCAACGGCCTCACAATGACTGAGATCTGTACATTCTTGGTTAGGACAACTTAAAGCTGTCGGCCAGTCGCTTACTCTGCCAGGGAATTGCTCCGGAGATCTGTCTCTTGTCGGCTTTAATGGAGAAACTCGCAGTGGGGCCTTCCCAACCCTTTCTCGGGTCAGAGGTGTTAGTCGTCTTTTGTTACTGCTGGCGAGACCACGTGGCTTGGTCTGACCTCGGTGAAGTTAGCTCGATGAATAAAGCTTAAAAAGGGAACTTGGTCGTTCTTGAATTAGACTAGTGTAACTTAACGGTCTAATAACTTTTAACAAACAAAAGAAAAGAAAAGAAAAAGCACGTAAATTGCTGGAAACGAGGGAAAGCTGAGATCGCGGAACTTGAAGCGAACAAAGCTTTTGTTGCGCCGGGCCGAACTCTTAGGGCGTTGCCGAGAGAGGGGGCACGCCGGGCGCATGCCAAAGCGCCGTTGAAGCGTCAGGAACAAAAAGCGGGCAAGGAGCAAGACAGCAAACATGCGCGTGTGTCGCTGTTTTGTCTGTTGGGGCGTGGGTCCCAGAGGGCTTTTTTCCGGTTCCCGAGGGACTGTCTTTCTTTAGACATATTAAAGTCAATCAAAAACAAATCTACTGGCGCGTATTGTAATCAAATATCTTCCCACAATCAAACCTCAATTGTCAAACGGTTGTACCGTTCTTAGTTTTAAGCACTTGATAAGGGAAACAAATGGTCATGATAAATACCGAGTGACATTTATACATTAAACAGCATTTCTGACGATGGCATGTAATACTTATTTTGTCCACTTGGGGGAGCTCAAGTTACATGAGGAAAGCTTGGATAACTTATTTAGATTTTTTCAGCAATAATATAAACAACAGATAGCAACAACATTGTAACATAACTAATCAAATAGAGGCAAATGTAATCCAGTAACTAAAAGATTATTTAATTAAACAAGGTAATGCTTTGAGTCTTGGGAGACAGTAGTCTTTGTTTACATAAAGAAGTTCAGGGCTGTCCTTAGTGTCCTGGAGTTTCTCCAATTTGCATCTGGCTGTGAAAGGAAGTATCTCCTTTGATGTGAGGTAATTAAATGCAGAGGAAGGTCAGTTGCCACGGTTACATGTGTGGGGGGCAGTTTAGGGTTTTCCTGCCCTTTCTTTAAGAAGAATTTTGATAGGCTGACCAGGAAAACGCTAATCGCTGGTCAATGTTTAACAGTCAAGCACCGCGTTATCTGGCTGCGGCATCAAAAGGTGGCCAGTTTTACGATCAGGCTGCTCAGAGACAGCACTTAGGGAGGGAAAGATTTCAACCCCCCTCCTTTGGGGTCTCTTCAGCCGTCTATTGAAAGTGCTATACTAAATTGCTGGAGTGTCCCTTTAAACATCATAATGAAAGTTTGCATAGTGAGAGTGTTTTCTTTGAAGCAACTGTGCTTTTTTTGCAGGGCTGAGGACAGAACCGATCCGATGTTTGAAAAGATGCAGCGTTACATCAAAGCTTTCTCCAAAGACAATGAAAAGGAGGAGAAGACTGGAACAGTAAAGGAGTTGTTCTCAGAAAGCCCGAAACTCAGACCTAAAAAGTGGAAGGCTGTGTCAGGGTGGCAGCTTATTCGCAATAGCACTTTGGGTTTGGAGAGGGCAAAAATAGCCAAAGGAGAACCACAACATTAAATGTTTTCTAGGAAGAGGCCTTCCATCATCTTCCATCATCTTACAGTACTGAACATTAGGGCTGCATCATATAATATTGCATCCCATATTAAATTTTATTTGATTAATCTAACGATTATTCTTTTTGATTTGCAGACTGATCTAACAACTAATTTATTGATTATTAATAAGATTATTTAATTATTACTCAATTAAAATTACAATAAAATGAATCACAAATAAATGTCAAAAACATGTCTCATTAAAAATTCTATATTTTATTTAATTGAAAAAAGACACATTGGAATAATGATAATAGAGTAGAGTTAGTCTAAGGTCAGGTCACTGCTGTGTTATAATATTAATGATAGACCCTATTTGTCGGATGCCGTTCAGAAAAATACTGGACCTCAACTTCAAAAGGATTGCTGTGACAGAGATTCATTTAAACATTGTGTATCAACCCTTTCCTGAACTGGAGAATCAGTATTTTTACTTAGGTACTTTACTTAAAACTTAAAATAGTTATGACATGGGGTTATTTTATGTAGGGCAGGGAAAATAACTGAAACATTTTACAGACTAACAACAGTCTGTGTTATTATTACTTTCTGCACCGCCGTTATAGTAACATTATGTTACTATAACGGCGGTGCAGAAATTACTTTTAACAAGCGGCCAATGATCAAACATTTAGAGAATCAATTTTAAGTGGCTGCTAATAACAGAAACACATTCCTCGTGTTGATAATCCTATTTTTTGCTGCCACTGCCGTCTTGAAAAAGTTTCTCCTGGATGATTTTGTTTCAGGTGATCATGGTTAGCAGTTGTACTGCTGTGATAAGCTAATTCCAATTTACAGAGCCTAAACAGCTCTGTCTAAAACACTCACAAACTTTAGGTGGTTGCAGGCAAGGTTTTCAGCTGCAGCTTGTTCTCCGGGAGGAAATCTCTGCTTGGACCGGGCGCAAAGACTTCATTGCGATTATAGTATTAGCATTATGCTACAGAAAAAAATATGTTATTTTTATAACAATATTTAGCAGTAATAAATGCCAAACTAAAACAAAGTGAAACGTAGACATTCAACTTATGTCGTTGCATGAACATTTTTATATGAGAATAAAACCTTTAAAACCAAATTGACTGGCCTTTATTTGTGATAAAGTCAAACAGCAGTATAAGTAATCATCCAGTAGTCTATCCAAGTAGTACAATGATTAGTGCTTAATAGTACTTGTAGGCATAACTGACATCATAGAATACAAATTAGGAAACACAATGCTACAAGAATTGCTTACAAACATCTGACTGAACATATTTTTAAACAATTAAATATAAAACTATTATCTAAGGAGCTTAATCTTTTTCTGCTGGGTAGTACTGATTGAAATGTGAAGTAGAAAGATAAATCATTTGAGATGTTATTGAAGAGTTGAAGCCTGTTGGCAGAATTTTGGTTTTTTCAACATTCTGTTAAGAAATAGGCGGTTGCATCTGCAGCTGACAGATGAAGTAGGTGTAGGCTTCGCAGGAAGCTGTGATCCAGTTCTTCTCAGGTGGGTTTCCACTGTTGAGGATCCCACAATTCCCCACTGGTGTTTCAGCCCAATAACTGAAAATAAAATGCATGAATATTCACTATTACATTGGAATCATAGGACGCTGTGGTTATGCAATATAGTAAAGCGGAGAAAGAATAAATCGGGGTGTTTTCTTATTTTTTGCAATCTCTACTTTATAGGGCCACTTTATTAGGAACACCTGTTACCCAAGCTCATGGAATCCAATTCAACAGTCTTTCGAAGCTCAGTGTTTGTATGTTTGTTTGATGTTTCTAATATTCTGCCCCCCTAATGTTGAAGGACGAATGAGAAGGACAAAAAATTAGAAACACCTCTCAATATAATGCAGCCCAGTACATCACCACCTTTAATCATGACCTCAAAAATAAACATATGATTAAATTTACATATAACAGAATGTTATAAACTTCCTAAAGGTAGAATTTGTGGCAGAGCTGTTGTATTGGATTGCATTAGATTGTAATTTGTACCTAATAAAATGTATATTTTAATTAAAAGAGTGTAAAATACATAAAGACAAATACCCCGAAGATAAATCTATCGCCTTCTCTATCTCACTTTCAGACAAAACATAACACTGGCACATATTCATATCTAAACATCCCAAATATGAAAAAAACAAAAAACAAAGACCGCTTAGATAAAAAGTTCTAGCTACAGCTGAGATGATTAGACAATTAATCAGGCAGTCACACATTCCCCAGGAATCACCTCTCTCCCAGCACAGTGTTGTTGACCCAGGTCCATGTTTCTTTTTTGTTTCTCAGCCCGATCCAGTATTTCATTTTCCCCTCCTTAGTCAGAAAACGCTAAAAGAGAGAACACCACTGACATTTACAAAAAAAGATTCTGTGCAAGTTATTACTATTTTATTAACTGCATGATTTTACTTCTAGAGAAGGAAGTGTTATCAGATCCACCTGAACCAACTGGCTGTTAATAACAGCAAGAGATCCTCCTCTAGCGCTGCAGTTCCTCTGGCTCTCATCCCAGCTCAGCCTGACGGTGGACAGGAAAAAACACGATCGGCCAAAAGTCAGCCACCCATCAGCGCACTGCTGACAGCCGAGATCTGAAAGGAGAGATGGATCAGCACAGGAAATCCTCAAAGAAAAGGTCTACAAACATGGACTAAATTGCACAAGTAAATAATAAAGCAGAGTTTTGGTTCAACATTTAAATAACTGAAACTGTCTTTTCTGTATCTTAAATGAGCTTTGTTTTTCTTTAAGGTTTGGGTTTCATTTATATTTTTGCCCATATGTTGTGGAGACATCCATGTTATTTTATGTGTGTCTATGTATAATCACATAGCAATGTCAAAATGATTAAACTCAGCTGAATCTAGGTTTAAATGGGGAGGAAATATTCTCAGTTCTTCAAAAACAAGCACATGAACTAACTTCCTCTGAGACCTGTTTAAAACACAATTTTGGGCAACAGTGAAAGCAGAACTGCCACTAAAAACACAATTAAGTTATTGTTTTTCTTTAATCTAGATGTTTCTTTTGCTTGTACAAGGTTTTCTACGTTGTATTGTTCCTCCTGGCATCACACTCACACTGGGGTTGAATGTTGCTGAAGTGAGTCTGGCACTGTTCATAGTTGCATGTTGGAGTAAGTGAAGGGCTTTGTCTGTTTGTTGCTTTAGTTTCCTCTATGTCCGGGCAGACTGCGGATCCAGTTTGGACTAGAAATCAGAGAGAAGTGGGAGGAGTTGTGAGGGAAAAGAATATGCCCTCCGGCTGCAGCAGGACAATCAAAAATAGAACAAAGCAATGCGATCCTGACATATCTTTTCCATTTTTCTTTTATCTCTGCACATCTAATGGTAAACTACAATCCATAGATAATCTGCTTTAGTGTTACATAATCTGGCCAGCAGTTTTTTGTTTTCTGACATAAATTCAGATCCATTGTTGCAGATACTCACATTTTGCACTGAGGATAATGACGACCAGCAGCAGGACCAGGCAGATTATTGTGAGGATCACACACACAGCACGGTACAGACGTATGTTTCCCTCAGTCTGTTTGCCTGAAGAAGAAAACATCAGCCGGATGTTAGTGAGATATTTTAATGAGCACAACACAAACCACCATCAAGCCTGAAAAAACACTGCTCTGGCCTACCTTTTCCCCCTTCCAGTTCAACAGATAACTTGGACTCTGGTGACAAGTTTTCACCGGCTTTGTCTTTTTTATCCTCGCCATAACTGCGACAAAATTTGATATACATGGAGAAAAACGTCCTGGGATTGGCGATGAAGCTTGTTTACCCTGTCCTGCTCCGTCTGCCTGTCCTGCTGAGTCACGCCTGCCTGAAAGAGCGCAGTCGAGACACCCCCTCTTTGTCTTGTCGCCATAGCAACATGACCTTCACTGATTCCTTAATTATTCATCTAGCACAGTACTTGGCTTGTCCTTCAAGTCCCCAAAAACTTTTACTGTATCTCTCTTTAAGAATGCGTGTGAGAGACACAGACACATACTGGAAACCTGAGAGACGCTGTATTCCAAAACAACAGATGGGATTTCTTCTTTTGAGGTCATTTGAGCTGAGTGTTTGTGTCAAACACATTTCAGAGACAGAACATACTGTCATTACTGATACAGATTTGAAACATTAAATATAGGATTAAAGTGCAGGGTTTTGTGTCCCAAAGGGGAATCAAACCAGCAATCTTTGACAGTCCTCACACTCAAAGAATGCAGCCTTAATTGCAAATGGGCAAATTTTATTCTACCCACTTAAAGATAATAGGTAGCGATACTGCAGCTTTAGTGCACTCAATTTACTTTATTTTGCATGTTAATATTTCTTCCCTAGCTCTATTTGTATTTGTTTCCAATTTACAGAAACACTTGACTTGTATATAGAGATACCGTAAAACTTCAATTAAAAGCCTTGTACCATTTAAGATACCTATCCCTTTTTCTGGCCTGGTGTGGCCACATGTTTTGACAAATAAACACAGGTCTCAATTAAACCTTGTCTGGTTTTTATAGAAGTTCTTTGGATGTATAAAACATCTAAATAAAGCCCACTGGGTCACCTGCTTGAGCTAGTTCTAAACTGTTTACACTGTGCATACCAATATAAATATTTAAACCTTTGTCAATATGGACATGCTACATGTCGAAAGATCAATTAGATTAGATTTTTTATAGATAAAGAAATTAAAGACCTTTCCAATATAGATTTGTTTGTGTAGGGATACTTAATACTACTACGACGACGACGACGACGACGACGACGACGACGACGACGACGACGACTACTACTACTACTACTACTACTACTACTACTACTACTACTACTACTACTACTAATAATAATAATAATAATAATAATAATAATAATAATAATAATAATAATGCATTATATTTATATAGGGCTTTATCATAGAATCTCAGAGCGCCACAGAGTGAAGTGGGGAGGACTCATCTCAACCATCACCAATATATGTGGCACCCACCCGGGTGATGCACAGCAGCCATTTTGCGCCAGAACGCTCATCACACATCAGCTTGAGGACAGATACGGAAACAATGAGCCAATTACTCTGGGGGATGATTAGAAGGCCAGATGGAGAAAGCCAGGTTGGGAGTTTTGCCATGCCACCAGGGATCCCCCTACTCTTTGCGACAAGTGTGGTGAGATCTTTAATGACCACAATGAGTAAGGACGTCTCATCCGAAGGACGGCATCTCCTGCAGCTCAGCGTCCCAATCACTGCATTGGGATCTTGTTAATAGGACCAGAGGGGAGTCTGCCTACTGGCCCACCAACACCTCTTCCAGCAGTAACTTAGTTTTCCCAGGAAGTATCCCATCCAGGGACTAATCAAGCCCAAACCTGCTTGGTCAGCTTGGAATGACCTTCAGTCATTCAGCAGAAGCAGGCTACACGTTGGTATGGCACCTGGCTTTATGGTATTGCAAGAAGGGCTGCAACTTCAGAATATTTTTTTATCAAATAAGACATTTTTTTAATTAAGTTTTTTGGTCTCTATAAAGTTTAAAAAATGTGGGAAAAAAGGTTTTATCACAATATCCCTGAGCCCAAGCTGACATATTTACAGACATATTACAGTTCTAATACCAAGGCATCGAGTTTACTACAAGGTAGATTTATTTCTCACTTTACAACAGGTTGGCCAATAAAGCTGATTCTAATTAATTACTTAGTTTTAGAGGCTTGTTGTTCCACACAGTAACACACGCTGCTGTGCAATGTCACTGCTTTCTTTTTCTTTCATGTTTAAATGGTGCAAAATCACAAAACAAAAAACAGACTTAATGAATGGTGGTGCCAGAATGTACAGACACTAAGATGGAACAGCAAAACAGTTTATGACATTTATGAGGGCAGGGGTTTCTATTCAATTGGCAACAAACTAATGGTCAATAAATTACATAATTAATTGATCTTTTGGGTCATTTCATTTGCAAAAATGTCAACATTTAATTGTATTCATTGTTTTTTCTTTGTCTTCTGTGATAGTTCATCCTCAGCACTGCTCTACTGAATATAGTTTATTTCTGTTTACCATTTTTATTGCTTTAATATTACTGTATATTGTCTGCTAGAAGGAAGTTACAAACTCAATTTCACTTTACAACCTGTTGTAATGTGACAAATAAATTTACCTTGTACCTTGTACCTTGTAGTAAACTGAATACCTTGGAATTTGAACTGTTTTTTGAACAAAACAAGCAATTTAAATATGTCAGCTTGGGCTCTGGGGAAATTGTGATGAGATTTCTTCACATTTTTTTGACTTTATAGAGACCAAACAACTCATTGATTAAACGAAATTGGCTTATTTGATAAACAAAAATAATCTTAAGTTGCAGCACTTCCTACAACACATTTTAACTAATGCTATGCTGCAAATAAACAATGCTGATTAACCCTATCACCGTCAGGTAAATCTCTCTGCACTGACAGTATACCAGAGTTTGATGATCTGGTATACTCAGCTGAAGAGGGAAAAGTTCTGCACTGCAGGTTAAAAATAAGTCTCTAGAGCCTTACTCAGAGTCAAACAAAAACAGACACTACTGTAGTTTGGGAGTACACTTTTTCACAGATTAGCTAATCACAACTTTGCTTCTGCTTTCTTTTCTTTTTGTCTGGATTTGCTAACTGAGATATACTCAAGTTATGACATCACCATGGAGACAATAATGTTTTAATGATTACTAAGCAATGGAGGGAAGTTTATGCAAAGCCCTTTTGTTGTTGTTTTCATATTTAGTTCTGCATGTGAGGTGCAATGAAGCGGTTTAACAGTGTAAAAACAGACAGTTGAGGTGTTATGGAAGACCTATGAAGACCTATTACCTTCTGTTGTTAGGCAGAAGGTGTGCTGAGAGGCATGCTGAAACACAGTCTTTGGGTGTTTCAGCTGTGTAAACAGAGGACACACACACACACACACACACACACACGAGGGCTCTGCAGCGGGTGATCGAAACCAACCAGAACAGTGATGTCAGAGAGGTAGCTGTGCAGAGCCCACAGGATACTTGACAATACCCACACAAGCCGTAGCCTGTTCACCCTGCTGCTGTGTGGCTGATGCAGATGTTCCTGCTGTGGTGCCACCAGACTACAGAGCAGCTTCTTTCCTCAGGCTGAGACTCCTTAACTCCACCACAAATAAATGACATGGAACTTTCTGCTGTGCTGGTTTTGCACATTACCACACCCCTACCTTTGTATAATAGTGTATATGAAAGTAACTGTATATTTCTTTTTAATTTTAATATTAAATATTTGTATAAATGTTCTCTGTGTGTAACGTGAAGGGAGCTATAACTTTGATTTAACTGCGCAACGCTGTGTTGTAGAATGACGTAAATGTACCTTGAACCTTCTATAAAAGTAAATAGGTAGGTAGTCACAATATAACAAGTTAGAGTGAAATTAAGTTTTGTAATTCCCTTCTGCTGCATAGCAGACAATAAACATTAATACAGAATCAATTATAAAAAGAATGGTAAACAGAAATAAACTATAATGAATGAAGCAGCGCTGAGGATGAATTAAGAGTTTAAGAATCAAAGTGTACCTGCTTTTGTCTTAACTGGAGCGCCACCATAAAAAGCTTCTGAATAAACATCCTCAGATGGACTATGTAGTGTAGAGTAGGGTTCTGGTTCTGCTTCCTCTAAAACCCGACAAAAATAGAGACAGATGCATTTTAACAGAAATAAACTTAAATTTGGAATTTGCTTCCAAATATTAAACGCACAAGCCAAACTAAACTTTCCGAACTGCAAGAAAACTAAACGACAATATAAAATAAAAACCTAAAATTAACAGTTTTTGTGTTTTATTAAACTTTTTGGAAATAGTTGTCGTAAAAAAAAATAAATAAATAAATAAATATTTACAGCCTTCTTCATTTTCAGTTCTTTTTTTCTTTCTCGTTCAGTTTAGTTGTATTTATTTTAAGTTCATTCTGAAATGTTACCTGCTTTAATTAAATGTCCTGTACTTTCAGCGTTGGTCTCCAGCATCGATTCACCTGGTTCTTCATTCTCTTCGCCTCTTTTGCTCTCGATGGTGATCTCCTGCATCTCCATGGCTCTTCTCTTCTGTTACTCTAACTTTCGTTTGCACCGGGAAGTCTTTTAGACCGGACTATTCAACTGACGTCGTTATGTAACCTTTAGTCATGCAGACAAAAAGCTGATGAAGCACTGGTTGCCCCAAAAAAAATGTTTCAAGATATCAATTTTCTGTTAAATATTCCCCAACCTAAAAGTGTCCAGTGAATATATGACTCATCTGATCAGTAAAGACAGAACACTTCCGCATGAAAACATCTCCTCTGCCTTCCCCTAAACCACATGTATAAAGTGTACAAGAGGCTTTGGGGGAAAGCGCTTGTGTGTATTCATTATTTCAAGATTTTTTTTTTTTAAATATCTACTCAAATATTTTTCTTTAAATCTTGTTTAAATCTGCCAGTGACATAAAAATGTTTCCCAAAAAATCATACAAGAAAGAATTCATCAGATTATGTATGCATTTTATCATATTTATTTTCCACAAAAGTTTATATTAATTTACAAAAAAAATACTATTTGCATTAAATACAGAGGACTGAAAAAGATAACGAGAGCTCCCTCAACATGATTTCACTAACTTCCTTTTACAATGCATTATTTCTTTCTTTTCACCCTTCCCCTTTCTTTTTTCACCAAGTGCAGGAATCAAGATAACTTGTGTAATAAAATGCATTACGCTCAGCCCCAAATACTGACAAGGGTAACTCCTACCAGCATCCCATCAGCCTTGTGCGAAGCCTTTCTTCCACCATGTACTGTAGTTACTTATCAAAACTAATATAAAAGAATAATAGTGGTGTGACACATTGCAAACAGCCGTAACTCTTTATTCCTCACAGTCTCACTTTGTCTCCTCTCATTCTCTCTTCCTTCTCCAGTCTTTTGCCAGCCTCCCTCAGGCACCGTACACACTCTCATTACTGTAGGTCATGTAGAGAAACAGGTCCTCTTCATGGTGCTCCTGCAAAACACAACAGAGCAAAGAATAACACATAATTCAGCGACAATTGTACTACTTTAAACGACAACTTCCATTTCATTTTGCAGCCCTGTGTTGTCGATTGGCAAATTAATGTACCTTGAACCTTGAATAGACACACCCCACCAGCCATTTGGAAATGATAAGTGCAGTCAATATAAAGAGCTTTTTAGAAAATTCATATCCAAAAATGACTCTTTTGCCGGCTTTATAGCTTCTTACCTTTAGCAATATTAAATACACAAACTTTGTGGTTTCTAAATCACTTTCAGAATGACTTTTGATGTTAATGTGTTACTGACAGGCTTCTCTGAGGTCAGGAAAAGTGAAGTCACATCGCCATCAACGCAGATCGGAGATCCCCATGGGTAGAGATTGATTTTGAGGGTTAAGACTTGGTTTTAGGGTTTAGGTTAGGGTTAGACATGTAGTTGTGACGACAAAGGTTAGGGTAGGGGGCCATGTTAATGGCATTTTGTCAGTGCATTATGTCAATGACATGTGCCCACAGTGATAGTGGAACAAACATGCATGTATGCTGGGGAGGGTCCTCATGTGAACATGTGTGTGAAAGGGTGCAGTTACCTCATATACAGCAGAAAGAGGGGAACTCGATGGGGGAAGGGAGTTGTTGACAAAGAAGAAGAGTGCCTCCTCTGGCCTCAAAGACACACGCTGACGGATCAGGAAGCACAACTGGCCCACTTTTATAAAGAAAGGAGAGGAGGAGAGCGAGATGGTCAGTGCGTGTCATGCTCAGTAGTTTCATGTATTGTGAAGACAAAGTCTTTAAATTCAGAGCATGAGAAAAAGGCAGGGCCTGTAATAATTAGTGTCAGAGATTAGTGTCACCCTTAAGGCTCGTGCAGGCTACACGACTTTCCACGTTGGCCAGTGGCCATGCTGTTCACACTACACAACTTGCCGTCTTGTGACGGGAGTCTTGAAGTCGTTGTGGCGTTCACACTACGTGACTGATCAGTGACAGGGGGTCACACACTATGCGAGCTGACAACGACTCTGTCACCCGACACTGGTCTCCAAACCATATTTTGTCAAGAAAACACAAATGTGAAACGGGAAATGACACAAACGTACACACAAAACAGCTGTTGTTTGTTATTATAAAGACAAAAAATATGGGTGAAAAAATGGATTAGCACACACAGGTCGCAGGGATCGTCTGAGCTACAGAGAGAGCTGGAGGGGAGTAAAAAGTGTTTTGCAGTGAAAAAGTGCGCTCATTGGCTGGATGTGGATGTCAATCGGCCGACTCTTCCAGATATTTGGCATGCTAGATATCTGGCAGACATCAGCGATGTGTCAGAAATGTGTCGGGGAACCATTTTGACGCGTCCTTGAGTAGTTCACACATAATGACTGGCGACCGCCGATCGATCACTGATTTACCCCTGATCACAGCCCGATGGTCACCGAGCTCGCCGACCGGCAAATCGGGTTTAAAATCGTGTAGTGTAAACTAGGCTTTAGTTTGTCAACTGCATCACTTACAGCAACTGATTGATCTATCCAGGTTCGGATGGTGCATCAGCAGCAAGTTAAGCCTAAGACTCATTTGTATTTAAGTAAATTGTGCATGTGGTCATTGCATATCCTTTATAACATATTAATGGTAATGCACATTTGATAGGGTTTTCATGTTTACATAAAGTATTGACTGTTATTATGCTGTTTATGTAAACAAAAAGATTTTCAATATAAAACTTGCCAAAATGATTCCAGTTTGTGTGCATCAGTACTTTTTTTTAACATTTTCCACATATTTTAACAACACCACAATAAAACATATAAGTGCAATAATTTCACTATAATCGTGATATAACATTTTCATGCTGTTTCATCTCTATTCTCTATTGTATTGTGTTTATATTTCAACTGTAAAATGTCCCGATCAAAGTTCATGAAAAAAAAATTTTTAAATTAAAAAATAACATAAAAATTCCATATACACATACACATACACATACACATACATACATATACACAGATAGATATCAAGATTGTTTGTTTATGTGTTTACATTTTGAAAAATGACTACTGGCCAATGTATCATTATATGATTTTTAAACTTCAGTAGAACTCAGTCGGGCTATAGTGACCATCGATAAACTATGGGTGATAGAGCTCTTCAAATGTTAAGGCACCTTTTTTTTGCATTCTGAATGTTCTGGGAGGCCGATTGTTTCTTACATCATGTGTGTGATATTTTGGTAGTGTGGGAGATTTCTAGGTGGGAGAGTTATTGGATAGGACACGTGTGTTTCACCTGTTAAATCTGAGGGCACTAGGTATTTCTTCTTGTCCAGTTCGGGAGCTCGTGACCTCTGGGCCCTCTCCACAATGATCTGGTTAAAGACAATAAGAACAGTAATAAGTCACTAACGGAGAGAGAATGTGTTCATGTGCCAAACTCTAAACAACAAATGAATTCACACTACTACAAAATCATAGATCCAGTGTTTTATTAAGAGAACTGGTTTTAAATAAAATATCTAGATTACTGTGATTATCAAACATAACTTCCTAACCCTGTCACAGTAAATGTAACATGTTATTAAAATATTTGGCATTTGTCATACTAACCGGTATCTTGTCAGGGTGCTTGGCCCGAACTCTCTCTCCCTCTGCTCTCCTCACCTCCAGTGGTACTGAGCGCTGGTACGGACTGCCCATCTGACAACACAAGGAAACAAACAACACCAGAAAACATGAAGTGACCCTCACAATAGCATTACTGACCAAGTAGACAAAGGAGAAAGAGCACTGGCTTACTTCACCAACCAGTGCATTCAGTCAACAAGTGATACTGCCCGCCTAAAGAGGACATCATTGTTTACTGCAAGATGAGATGGAGGCATCTCTTAATCAAGTGCTTTGTAGAGGCCATTTTAAGAGTTGGCAGTATAAAAATTCACATTTTTAACTCTGAGAAACCAAGGGAGCTATTCCTATACATTTGGATGTATTCAGCCTCTATAGGCAGGGTTGCAAATCAATGAGGACTGCTTTAGCACATTGTTGGGTTTACAGGTATTTTACATCAATGTGATTGAGATGAACCCTTTTAAACTATTAATGCTTAAAATGGTTTCAAAGATTAATCAATCATCAATGATGTATTTCTGTTGACTGATTGATTTTGTGTCACTGTGATGAAATACCTTCAAGCCAAGGGTTTTCAAAGTCTGACACTGTGGACTTCCCCTCAGATAAAGCTTGGGAAAAGGTGACCTCTCACTCCCACTTGTTTACTTGCTTAGTTTGTCAATTCCTGGATGCTCATGGGATCATGATTATGTTCTTTGATCACATAGACACTCACAATTTAGCCAAGATAACCCAATATTGCTGATTGACTACACAAAATACATATGAAAAGGTCTGTCCTAAGGCATTTATCAGTTTCTGACTGTGGGAAAGGCAGTAAATTTCCCCAAAACAGTATAACATAACTTTAACTAACTCTCAGACATTAGGTTACTCTATGTGATCTCCTTGTGACAACTAATAACTACAGTAATATGTTTTCACATCAGTTCACTGAGCCTCTGCTGAAACAGTTTGGAGCCAACCATGTGGAGGCCTGAAAACCTCTATTTTAAGCATTTCATTAAGAGTTTAAATGATTAATCACTTAGTCAATCATCAGAACACTAAACTAATTATTCTGACATCTGATTAATGTTTCAGTTATTTTTAAGCAAAAAAAAAGAAGTGAAAAATGAAAAACATTACCCTAAAATGCTCTTATTTGAGGGCATTGGTGCTTTAATTTGTCATAAATCTTTGTGATGTAAATATATTTGAGTTTTGTATTTCTTCAAATCTACACATCGGAAACACTGTTTACAACTAGCTGTGGGTGGAGTTATCAGTAGATGTGGTTAGAGAGTAAAGCTAACGATGGAAACATTCCTCCACATAACATCCCTTCGTGGTTCACCACTGATTGTCTACAAACTCCCGCTTTTGTTTTTGTTTTTTTAGTGTATACGGAGTGTGATCACTCACGATGACTCCGGTTTCAGGCGGTTTGGGTCGTTGTGAAGTGAGGCCACGTCACTTTTAACAACAGCACTGAGACTTATAGCCACAATCAAACCAGCTACATTATTCGGTGTAATTAAGTGATTACCAAAGCCTCTATATCGATACCATGCAACAGGTCACGGAAATCAGCTGTTTCTGGCAGTGGTGCTAGCTAACAACGGTAACGTAGTGCTAACAACTGCATTTAGCAGATAAAACATCACATACCTTTGAAAAAGACAATAACAAGTTTCACTCAAAACGGGACAAATACAGATAAATCCCACTGGTCCCTTGTGTTTTGTGGTTTCTCTAAATAAAATTGTTTAGCTCAAAATTTAACCATAACGTACGGGAATGCTCGCTTTTTAAAAGATGTCGACGACTCGACTTATTCTGCTGAACGAAAACAACAACAAACCCTGCAACGCCCGCCTACCTCATTTCGGACCAATCAAAGACGTGAGTGTAGATTGAAAGATGAACGTGTCCATTCAGGGAAACAGAAGGTAGGGTTGTGCTGCGCTCATTGGATGAGTGCTGCTGTCCATCTACACTTGCTCGCGCCCTTTTTTCTCTGAGTGATGGCACTTATAACCAATAGTAGGCCCTTGAAACTAGGTCAGGCCGACGTGGGTTCACGCCTATGGTCACGCCTCAGCCAGGCTACGTGCTTAACGTGAGTGCCATTTTTCATTATCTGTGCTGTTCTCTTTGTTCTGTAAACATCTCCTGCAGACACATGCCCGAAGTTACATGCAACGCACAGTAAAGGCTCGTTGTGAACGTGCAAGATTGCTGCTGATGTACAAGTACAAGTAGTCACAAACAAGTTTTATCTATAAATTACAAAAAAAGCTTATATAATGAAAGAAATAAGCCATAGCCCACAAGGCATACATATGTTAAAAAGGGATTTTATTCCATATTTTTTTAAATGTCCTCAGGTGTAAGCTCTGTACATCTTTGAATTGTCTTGTACATTTTGCATGATTTCTGTTAGCTCTCCTGCATGCAGGGGCCATCTCTTTAATAGATATGCATCATTCACTCAACTGTTAAGATTCTGTTCAATATACACAAATAATAATACAATAAAAATACAATTTCTTTGAAAAGGCAATTTCCCTTTTAAGCTATTTTCCACCAGTTCATTGATGTATAATAGTACACACAATGTTTGTAATGTACTTCAGCAGTTGGATGGACTCACAATGTCCATAATGTCTTTCAGGCAGGCCTCAGCAGTTCACACATTGCTCTAAGGCAATGTATTGTTCCACGCAGTGAAATAATTGAGACCCAATACTAGACTGAGATGCATTCTTACATCTTTTCAGTTGCTGCACTCTTGTGAACAATTCAATACTCATTTAGAGCACTGAATGTTTATGGTCCAATTTCCAGCCGTTTGAAGCAGACAACTGATAGATAGTCTTCTCTTGTCCGGTGCAACCAGGACGTCCCTCTGCTTAGTCCCACTCTGAGCGTCCTGATCAAACAGCAGCTGTGGCCGTTGTCAGTTTGAGTGCATCTGACAGGTTCCGTTGTCGGACTCTAGGGTTGCTTATGATTTCTAAATGGGACTTGGGTACCCATCCACGATGTCGATCAGGCAGTCTGGTCCCCTCTACCCAATCTGGGAAGTAGAAAGAATCCAACACAAAGTCATTTAATGCTTATTCTCTGATAATACCAGGTTTAAGGCAATTCTACAAATAAACATTGCATAGTTAATTAGCACTTTCTGCAAGGGAATGAAGGAAAAGGTAGTGATATGTTCTTACTGTCACTGCTTTGTTGGTGCACTAGAATGACATCAGCTTTTTCCAACGACAACTCATCAGGCTGATGGGCAACATAAGCTCGGATACACTGCATCTGTGACATATCTGCATGGACAAAAGAGGAGAGAAATCAGACGTATAGTCATAAAGATTAATAGGTGCTAAAAATCCCACAGTACGATCTTTCACTGTGTTTATTTTCATCTGACAATGTCGGTGAGGATGCAAAATGATGGATGAATCTTTAGTGTTTGGAGCCTGAACTTACAACTCACAAGTAGGCAATGAGTAAACCAGGCAGGGATTTTTAGGCACAACTTATGACCAACAACTAAGCACTTTGCAACATCTAAACCAAGTAGCATACTTCACCTTGTGCAGCAGAAAAATCTATTTCAGGATGTGGCCGGGAAAGAGCTGACATCCAACGTAGCTTATCACTCCTGAAGGGGAAAAAAGACAAGAAGAGTGTACCTTCAAACTCTTTCTCACACTGTAATGGGACCAATACAGACACTCTCAGCCGCTTACTGTGTGTCGGTGCGTAGCAGCAGGGCTTGGTTTGTCATGTGCAGCCGGAACAGGTTCTTCTGGAGGGAGTGAAGTTTGACACGACAGTTCTCTGCACGCAGGTCTGATACAGGGGAGTGGTCTATCACTGTGAATTTCCCCCTTTTGAAAGAAGCAGACGGCACAAAAGAGAAATGAGATGGCCGAAGGAAAGGCCGATAAGATTGCAGGGATGATAAAAGACAGGAAAACAGGATGTATTAAATGGTAATTAGATAGATGCCAGTTAGGGATGGGTTATTCTGACACTGCAAAACATGTCTGTTGACTCACTCTTTTTGTAGTGAAAGTAGCAAGTAGTCATTGAATAGGTGCAGGTAAACATTCCTCTCTGTTTCCTTTATAGAGAAATCCATCAGTTCAGCAACCGGCCCTTCCCGTACCAGCCTCCGAGACTGACTGATCAGAGGAAGAGTCTGTAGAACACACACAGACAGAGACAGAGAGAGAGACAGAGACAGAGACAGAGACAGAGAGAGAGAGAGAGACGCACACACAAGACAATAATGAAAATTTTTCACAATGGAAATGGGAGTTTCACAAAATGATTTTAACTCAAGGTCCTTAGAAGCTTTTTCTGGAGCTCTCAACCATATCTCATAGTCAGTTGTAAATGTTGTGAAAAATGTATATGGCACAAACACTCAAACCATGTTTGTCAGAAAAACTCCACACAAATAAAACAAAAACCCTCTAACATTTAATTTTGATAGCTTTTAATTACAATTTGCTTGAAATAAATAAATTGAACAATAGAATTTTGTAAAACAATTACATGTTGTGATTTTCTCTCATCACTAGTAGTCATTACTTACCCTGCAGTCAAAGTCCACCTTAGCACTGAGAGAGACCAGGGACTCGATGCTTTTCATCTGAGTGATGCTGTCGTTACTCTCTTGAATCAGCTAAAGGAGGGATGAATGAAAGAAAAGAGAGGTAAGTCACAAATATTAAAATATTGCTATCCTATGTTAATGTACAGTGAAAAGAGGATGCTTCTGTACCTTTTCCAGAAGTTTCAAACATTTGATGGCCTGAGTCGCCTCCGCAGTACCAGGAGTTGTTCTCTTCACAATGTTCTGAACAGAAACAGTGTGTGAGTGTTAAAGTGAGAAAGAAGGTACAGGATTGAACATTTTGTGAACCTCCAACCTTTGCTGTTCTAGAAAGGCCACACACACACACACACACACACACATCCACTCACCTGGACCAGCAGCTTAATTCTTGTGATCCTTTGGAAAGGAAGGATAAGAAAGGAACGAAGAGGAAGCCTCTGACAAACTGGATTCTTCTCTAATTTCTCCACAATCCGCTTGAACCCTGGATTCTCATTCCTGAAAAAAAAAAAGGGACGTTTAATGATTAGACAGATGAGAACAATGCAAACAACAGCTGAGCACAAAGACTTGATTGAATTACTTACATGAGTCTCTGGTAGGTGGCATCTTGATAAGACTGGTTGGTAAGGTAGGGCACATAAACCTTTTTGAAGCGTGGACAGTGCCGAGCAATGATATCACACACGGTGAAGGAAAATATGTTCGATTCCACCCGCTCCTCCAGCTTTGTCAAAAAACTAAAACAAAAATCATAATGACTTCTTTTAAGCTCATTTCTACCACAGCTTTGTGACACAAATAGGTTTGATCATCACTCAATGTACATTTCCAGTCAGATCTAAATGATAGGATATAGGCTGATAAATATATCTAAATGTAGACCCAGCTCAGATGGATAAAAAAACTTGCTTTAAATAATGTGTAACATTTCTGACCTGTTACTGATGGCACGCACATCTGCCAGCCGGGAAAACAGCCAGTTCCTATCCTGAGTGGTCAACAGCGCCCCCAGCTGTTTGGACATGACAAAGTGTTCAACAACAATGTCCAAACTCCGGCAGTAGGAGGCCTCTGAGGTCACCACTTCAAATCTCACCTAGAAAGCAAAAACAACAAAAAGGAGAGAAATACATGAGAAACCATTCAAACTTTGATGAAGAGAAGGCTAGCCAGTAAATTATAGCTAATAAGTGCAGGGTTGTCAGTTCTTAGAAGCTGGGGCATTTTGACAAAGATGTGACTAACTGAGGACATAGATTTCACAATGAGACGAAGTAGCTCAGCTCAGACTCATGTTTACAGGAAAACACCTACAGTATCAGAGAAACACAACATGTTTACACAATCACGTCTTCTGGCAGGAGACAATCTTCTGCCAATAAAAACTGGATTAATGGGCGGGTTATTCTGGGATGTGGCAAGTCTGAATATTACACATGATTTTAGTAGTTTGAGGTGTGTGGTAATAACAGTGAAAAGCTTTTTTTTTCATAAGTAAGTAAGGATTGCCATTTCCCAAAAGTAAAGAAACTGCTGATGTGAAATGACGCTAAAACAGTCTGGCAAAAAAAAGTTAAGCTCGAGGTGGTGAATCACTAAAACTATAATGGATTCATTTTCACATGAAAATGTATTAATTTAAAAATCTTCAGTAACATAACGCTAATGGAAAAGAAATCCCTTATGTATTTAATTTCCCACAGAATTCTCCTGAATTTCATTGAGGGAAGAATGTTGTGCATGTAACTTTGCAGAGAATGACGTACAAACAATCATACTGATACTTACATTAAGTGCTTGATTATAACTGTATATAAAAGGTAAAAATTGTAGATCAAATTGTCCAATCTAAGACCTTAATCCTTCATGCAAGCCGGTTGAAGGACGTGAAGCTGTAGGAACAGTGAAACAAAGTTTGCCTGGAGGCTTCTTCTGAATTTCACGGGAGGCGGGAATGTTACGCTAGTAATTTTCCAAGGAAGCCTGTTTTGACTATTTGCACATTACTTAATTAAAAGTTACTGGCACAACAGGGACAAAAATCAGAAGGCAAAATCCTTCATACAAGCTGGATGAAGGAAGAAAGGCTCTATGAAAAGCTAAACAGTTTGCCTGGAGGCTTATTCTGAATGTTGCTGCTAGTAACTTTCCAAGGAAGTCTGAATGCACGATTTTGGTTAAGCTGACTCACTCAGTGTTTGCACATTATTTAATTAAAAGTTTCTGGAAAACAGGGGGAAAAAATCGGAAGGAAGGAAGGAAGCCTGAATACATGATTTTGTGCATCATTTAGTTAAAGGTTACTGGCACAACAGGGGAATCAGAAGGCAAAATCATTCATACAAGCAGTATGAATAATTTTCTTTCATCCAATGGCAACTTTCATGTGTGCAGCAAGACAATGCATTACCTCCTGTAGTCGCCTCTGGTCCTCTGTGAGCCCTTCCAGCTCAGAACTGTTCCTGACCCCCGGCAGGTCCCTCCACAGTGTGGATGACTGTGTGAGAGAGAGGGATAGACGTGGGGAGGGAGGCCTGCCTTCAGTCTTGGGGGGCTCAGGGAGAGGCAAGCTTTTGACACTGGTAAAGGAACCTGTGTGGGACAAGGAGTGGGGGTGTAGGAAATGAGGTAGGGGAGGAAGAGGTCTGCGGGCAGGAGGAGGTGAGGGAGCAGGAGACGCATTACTGTCCTCGCATACAGAAAGGGCATCAGAGCGAGCCTGACGCAGGATTTCAAAGTTCTGAGCGGCCTCGCTGTACTGCTGGTAGAGCTGAGCAGCGTCTGGAAGAAAGAGAGGAAGTGAGACAAAGACATACAGCAGAAGAGAAGAGGGAGAAACAGAAGAAGGTTGAAAAATACAGGAAGCAAAAGAAAGAAGATAGATAGATAGAGTCGGGAACAGTGTTAGCCAAGAACAGTTGTTTGCATTTGACATTCCTTTTACACATACTTGTCAGAATGCAAATTCACAGCAGAAGCTGTTTTCCCCTCCAGTTAGAAGATATAAATGCTTGCTGAAACCTGTCTCTAGCTTGCACAGACACATTTATGCAGCACATCCGCATACACACTCCTGCCCCGTTTTTCACAATAACCATGTGAATAATAGGTCACAGACAAACTGCCAACTGTAGGTTGTTTAAAACCTTTACATTTTTAAAACCTAAGCCAAAAGTAAACTGCACACATATTACATTTAAATTGTGAGCCAACATCTACTGCGTAAGAGATAAACAACTAGTGAGCATGTATTAAACACAGAGATGAATCATACATGCTGAAGGGAAATGCTCAACCTTTTCCCAGCCACAGCAAGAAAAGATATGATCTGAAGACACGTCACTGTGTCACCTCACAGCTGTTTCTAATAATCAACCTTTGTTTATTCGGAAACAAAACTGTCAGCATTAATGAAGTTGATACAGTTGTGTTTGATTTCTGCATAAAGAGTTCACATAATACTTTTAATGCATGAACTGAACAACAACAACAAAAAAAGGTGGAATCAAGATACTCACTGAAAAACTTTGAGTTTCTTTTCCGTCTGTCGAACAGGACAGTCCTGCAGTGCCAAGAAACAGTCACAACAACAATTTATTTATAAATATACAAACGATTTAAATGACTTTTTGGTTTGAATATGAGGACTGTACAGAGGGATTCAACACTTTTGTGACCTTTCAGAAGCTACAGGACTATAATTGCCCCCTCAAGTGCTAAACCATGAGTTTTGACACTCAGTTGAATACTAGAATTGCATACATCCTGTCCACAACTGCATTTCAATATGTGGTATTTTATTGCAATCAGATGTATCATTTTGTGAGTGATTGTTTCACTCACCTCAGGTCTGCTTCTCCCCAGCTTTTGCTCCGATCATCCTCATCATCTGGAATATAAAAGTATCCATTCGTCGAAACGTTATACAACAGCATATCTATCAGTGCGCTACACACAAAATCCCTTACACAAACAAGTAGGTAATAAACACAACAGCAAAGATGAGGAGTGTTTCCAAAACTTGTGCTTCTCGTGTTATGTCTCAAAGCAGGATCAACCCAAGTCTTTTAGCTCATGCTTCTGGATTTCCCTCAATTTCTCCCCCCCACTTATCTCCACCCACTACCTGAAGCCACAATTCTGTGACGCAGTTTCCAGTTTAAGGTAATGTGGTGCGTGAAGATGAGTGCACTGATAATGTCTATTAGCGGATGTCTGCCTCAGATTTTTGGTTCTGTGACTGATTTTACAACAAAATTAGACACTCTGCAAACCAGAGGAAATGACTAGAAGATTGTCTGAGATTAAAATTGTCTCAAATTTTGACTTCATTTAGAGGTCAGGATTACCCTGTGGAAAATCTAAGCAGAATTATGCCAACCTGATTAGATTTTATTTTTTTAATCTGCATTGCTGATTGATGAAAAACTAGAATGAAATTAACCATGAAACCTAAAGGAGAGGTAATTATGTGGCTTTCAGAAAACATTTTGGAGACTCATTTGAGCAGGTAACCAGCGTTTCCAACCTCAATCTTCTTACTTTACCTGATGTAGAGAATATTCTGGTTCTGCGATCCCTTCCAACACCTTCTTCTTCTACAAGCTCTTTGGTTCTTCTTTCAGTGGTTTTACGGATCCCCCTTCTTCTTGATAGAGCTTCCCGAACCAAATCTTGGACACTGAAGCTGCTTGTCAGAGTCCCCCCTTCTTTTATCGTTTCTGCCACCACCTCTCCCTTTCTGTTATCCTCCTCAGTTCCCTCTCCCTCCCTCATCTTTCCCACGTCCTCTGCAGTACCCCTCTCTTTGGGCTCCCCTCCCTGCCTTTCCTCTTCACTTTCACCCATTCTGTCTTCCACCTCCTGGGCCTCACCCTCTCTGGAGGGAATGAAAAGGTCAGAGTCACATTCATAATTAAGAAAGGGGCAGCTGTGAGGCTTGTATAGCATGTTGCTCACAGTTAAATTCATCTCAACTTCCTTCTTTCTGCCTCCTTCTTTTTTCATTTCTGATACCTTAACCTCATCTCCTGCCTCTTCACTAATCTTCACTTCTATGTATGTTTTTTCTGACTGAAGGTGACCAGAAGGCTCAGTCTCTTTGTCCATACTGTGATCCTCTTTCCCTTCTGTGTCTAACGTTGTGTCACCATGAGTGTATGTAGGTGTGTCACCATGTATAGCTGTGAACTGGTCAGCATGCACGTCAGCTTGGCTCTGCCCCATACCTCTCAATCCCTCCACCTCCAATGGCTCTTCTTCCTCCAGCTCTGGCTCTGAGTGCTGTTCGTCTGTTGTCAACCTAACAACAGGAATCTCTCCAGTCCCTTCTGCAGCCTCGTCCTGGCGTTTGTCTTTCAACATTGCTGCCTCAGATTGGTCGACCCCTCTATTAGCTTGAACCTCTGCATAATCCATCTTTCTTCCCACGGTCCCTTCTTCTGAGCATCCCAGAATCTCCTGCACCACATTTTCAGCCCATTTAAGATGGGGGGCTTGGGAATGACGCTGGGTGGGCTCCTCGGACATGCTCCATGCTCTGCTCATTCTGATCCGAATAGCCTCCACCTCTTCTGGGCTTATCACTCCAATGTTAATCCCATCCAAGATGGGTTGAATTTGTTCAAAATTCACACGAGTACAAACATCACCACAGGAATTACTTGGGATTGGTGAAATCTGCTCTCTTTCCACCCCTTCTTTATTTTTCTCTCTCCAGTCTATGAGGAGTCTTTCCGTCGGTGAGTCTCTTTTAATTGTCCCTAATTCCGCATACGGGTGCTCCTTTTTGCTCCTCATTACCTCTCCAGTCTCTGTATTTCGAAGCACTGATGACACTTGGAGTCTGATATCCACCTCAGATGTTTCTCCAATTGCCACCCTCTCCTCCTGTGGCACGTTACACTCACTCTTGCTCTCTGTGTCCTGGTTGCTGATGATTCGGTATTCATCATTTCTACTCAGTGTCAGATGCAGGTCAACCTGAGGTTGCTGCATGGTGTCATCACTACAATGATGACTGCTTGCTAAATTTGGGTCGTCTCTTTCCACTCCTCCAATCTGATCAACATGTGATGGTGACCTCTTGTTGGTTTTTGATCGGGGCAACGTTTGCCCAATCACACAGTAGACGTACTTTGGCCGCTTATCCCTCCCCTGTACCTCCCTGTCATCAACCACCTCCTCCTTTCCCACTGTCCATTCCTCCTCCTTCTCCTTGTCACCCTCACACACCTTGATGGCAACAGGTGAGGGGCCCTCACATGTAACTCCCCCTTCCCAGAATTCCTGACAGTCCTCAAACATCTCCCCATCATCGTCCTCTCTCTCGTCCTCATCGTCTCCGCCGCTGGACACGGTCACAAAGCCGTCTTCTCCTGACAGCATCCTGTCTTTCTCTTGCTTCCACCCTGTCTCACTTCCTCCTTCACTCTCGGAGCGAGGACAATAATCGCTCCCACCCTCTTCCTCTCTGTCACTCTCCTCTGGTTTATCTGTCACGTTCTTTCTCTCTGCATCCCTCCGCTGGCTTCCCTCTATCCCTCCATCGCTGTCAGACAGATGTTCCTTCCCACCTTTATCTACTTCTCCCCAGACCTCACCCACCTCGTCTCCATCTACACTTACACTCTCTGTCTCCCAATCTATGTCACCCCTGTACTCATTTCTCCCTCCGTGTCTTCCCCTGTAACTATTTTGGTCCAAGTAATTCTCATCTGGTTCCTCTTTTATTCCCCGCCCCTTTCTTCCCCACTCAGACTGTGACTCCATACTCCTCTCTTCTTCTCTCCTCCTCCTCTCTTCCCCCCTTGTGTGTCTGTCTCTGTCTAAAAAATCTTCTTTACTAATCTTGCCCCTCTGTGGCTCTAACCACATCCTTCTCTGTTCTGGCCCGCCGCCTGTCTTTTCACCCCTATCGCTCTCTTGTCTCTCACTTCTTTTTTGCTCCTTTAGACATCTTTGAGCAGCTCCCTCAGGATTTCTCTGTTTTTCTACCACTCTTTCACTTCCAGTAATCATCTCTCTCCCTGATCCCCTCTCTTCATAACTGCCTCTTCTATATTTTGTCTCACTGTCCATGTCGCTACTCTGGTTTTGTGGTGGCCCCCTAGGAGCCGTCTCGCTCAGGGATCGGCTCCTTGTGTTCTTTGTGTCATCCCACCTAGGATCGGCCTCTCTTTCCTTTGTCTCCCTGCGTCTCCGCTGCTCATACTCTCTGTATCGGTCACCCTCGTTCCTGTCATCCTTCAAGTCTCTCACACTTTCTTTCCATCTTTCTTCCTCCCTCGCTGCTCTCCTGTCAACCTCTCTGTACCTCTCCCTATCCCTCTCCACTCCCATTTTCCTGGATTGATCCACTTCTCTTTCTCTGTCTCTGTATCTCTGAGTGTCTGCTTCCCTGCATCCCTGCCTATCTTGATCTCTCTCACTCTCTGCTTTGCCTGTGTTGTCCCCCTCACTTCTACTGTATTGATATATCAACTCCTCCTTCTTTCTGTTCCTCTCTCTTTTCCTCTTCATCTCTCTCTCGTCACTGTCTCCTTCACTCCTGGTGTCCCTCCTTCCTTCTCTCCTGTGCACCTTTTCTCTCTCCTTACTAACCGAGTAGATCTCTCCATCTCTTCTTATGTGTGGAGAAGGCATCCTGACCTGCCTCTTTCCTGTGTTAGGACTTAGCTTTTCTATTTTTCTAGCTTCATCCCTCTCTCTTCTGTCCCATAAATCTCCCAATTCTCTTCTCCGGTCTTGAAAACCTACATCAGACTCCTGATACCTTTCCCTCTGTCGCCATTTCTCATTTTCTCCAGGTCTTTGTCCAATGTTTTTGCCCTCTCCCTTTGCCCTGAACCACATCTCATCTCTGTCTCTCTTTCTATCCCTCTCTCTCCACTGTTCCCTCTCTCTTTCTCTTTTACAGTCTTTATCTGTCTCTACTCTTTTCGGCCTATCTCTATGCCTCCTTTCCCCTCTCTCTTCGTCCATCTCAGTGGTGGCCACCATTCTTCTGCCACTATCTGCGCTGCTTTTTCTCATTCTGGGAAATGTGTCGCCTTTCTCCATCCCCCACTCTACCGCTCTCTCAGTCTCCTTCTCTATATTCAAGAGCGACCTCTCGATTCTGCTTCTGTCATCTTCTTGCCTCCTTTCCCTCTTCCTCCACTCTCTTTGTCCCTCTCTCAGTCGGGCCACTGGAGCTCGGTAACTTTCACAGTATCCCTGTGGGTCCATATCTTTGTGTCTTGCTTTGTCCCTCATTTTCTCTTTTTCTCTCCAGTCCTCCTCTCGTTTGCGGTCTCTCTCTCGCTCCGACTGGGCAGTCATTGCTGATCTGGGACTTGGATCCCGGGAAATTTTTCCACCTGGCTGAAGTTTGCGGTCAGTGTTTATCTTAGATAAAGTGTCAAAGATGGTGCAGCCGGGCCTTTTTGTCCCCATGATCTCATAATTTGGAGAACCTAAAACAAAGAAAGTAACACATCAATGCATCAATTTAGAAATCAGACATTAAGGGTAAAGCCATTTTCAAGGACAACTTATATGAAGATCACATTAAGCTGAATGAATAACCTGCAAACTTTTACATAATGGTTAATGTCCCAGAGTTGAGTATGAATACTCTGGAAATATTTCACCAGTGGTACTACAACCTTTGAAAAATCATGAGGTGTTTTCAGTCAGTTATTCTGTTGTGTTATTTTGTAAAATACACTAAATTCCTGCACTTATACTTTGGAGCTAAACGCTGTGCGATATTTTAAGCCAGTCTAGTTGTACAGTACCTTTACATTAGAAAAGGAATATGCAGAGAAAATGTGACAACCTCATACAGTTCTTACAGCACAGACTTGCAAAGTGCAGCATACCAAAAGAAGTCTTTCAGAAAGCAAGGGCCTCTGACACATACGCACGGCATGTAACATGTAAACCACAACTAAGCTAGAACTAAATCTGTGTTCAAAGCAGAAGCAATTTACACAAGTGTTCATTTGAAGTCCATGAAATAGTAAAGCGACTCACCTGAAAGTAGTATCCTGGGGAGATCTGTGGTCCCCTCCCCAGTCCGGCTCAGCTCGAAAGCATGGGATTGCACAACACACAAGAATTCATTCCCTCTATTTACATTGTCTAGGTGACATTACACATGCGCTCCTTTTTTCAAATCAAAATAGCCTTTTTCTTTTTCTCTCACTAGTTTACCTCTTGTGAAAAACGTAATGTTTCCTTTCCCTCTTGCTCCCTCTCTCTCCTCCACCTCCTTCCTGAATTCCCAAACAAGTCTCAACAGATTGACACTTATCTTTCCCCTCCTCCTTCTCTGTCTTGTCCTCTCAGTCGCTGTTGCTGAATAGAGAACTGAATTCTTATAAATCAAACTAAAGTATGCTTTTGTTGAGTCTGTCCACTGCTTCAATCCTTTTTCCCTCCACTCTACTACCTATGTGATCGCCTATGTGGACCCCCCCAAGCAAAAAAAGTACACACTTTCTCTCCCCATTCTTCTCTTGCAAAACACAGGAAGTAAAACTCCTTGCTGTGTCTGTCTTAGCAGTGATTGGTTGATACGGAGTAGTCGGGTGTGTCTGCACAACTCACTGCCAGGTAAGGTAAGTGCTGTGATAACACAAGGGAGAGTGGGGGAGGGGAGACAGAGAATGACGTTTAAGAGCACACACTGGCGCAGAGCTCACTGAGGCCCATAAAAATGTCTCTAGTACATTCCCTTAGGAATTTGTAAAGAGAAGAAAGAATGGGAAACTCAAACTGTTTCTTATGATTAAAAAAAACAAACAGGATTAAGCAGTCACAGAGGAGAAGAATGGAGTGGCAGTACAAGGGTGATATGTGAATGATTTGTTTAACAATGACTGCTTTACTATGTTGATTGAGTATTCAAGTGACCTGAGATTATAGGTTTGGAGTACCACGATGTTATGAGATTAACATACAAGACCTAACTATGATCACCTTCTCATGTACTCGTTCCCTTGTATTGTTGCACCGGGTTAGCACTCAGGTCTTTGTGAGGGTTAGTGTTCACTTTTGTTAGGTGTTGATTACTTTTTATGGGTATTTTAAGAATGTAGTTTGTGGTGCTGTGTTTTGCATTATACTTAGAGGTGTTTCTAAAGTTTTGTCCACCCCATGAGGGGTTTTAGCTATAGGTCAGCCTAATAGACTAGAGTACACATGACTACTCCTTGTTTAAAGAAATTTGGGGAAATAGATTTAATTCTCCTTGTTGCTGAGAGTAGATGAGAAGATTGATAGCGCACACACATCTGTGCTGTAAATATTAAGCTATAGCCAGCAGCTGATCAGCTTAGCTTAACATAACGACTGGAAACAGAACACACCTGGTTCTATCCAAAGGTAACAAAATCTGCCTACCAACACTTCTAAAGCTAACATTGTTTTCTTCAGACACCCTGTCTTTATGCTAAGCTAGTCTACCATAAGCTATAGCTTCATATTAACCAAATAGACATGAGAGTAGTATCTCCCAAAATGTTATAGTTATCCCAAACTATTCCTTATATATTTTATATTTTTAGCATGAAGAGTCTAAACTTTTGACCCATCCATTTTTTTAGCCTACACCTGCATATCCTTTGCAGGGATGTAGGGGCTGGAGACTATCTCAGCTGGCACTGTTTAAGGCATATTTCCTTTATGTGCACCAACTAAGGAGTTGTAGACATGTTGTAAATGCTACTAAAGTGAGTGAAATTAATTTAACTGAATTTTCAATAGCGGTTAACTGTCTTCTTCCTCTGAAGTAAGGCATTTCCTATCTGTTGAGGTTAAGAAGCTGACAATAGCGGCAGGCTACGTTGGTGTAAAAAGTATTTTAAGTATATTTTTTTCAACTGTTTCTTCGTGAACTAGACTGTTAAATAGGAACAACTAAGCCATTGCTCCCTAAAGTAAAAAAAACAAAAACAGAATAATAAATTGAGCTCCTGAGGAATGTTTATCATCTTTAATCTAATCATTTTTAACAGTTCTTAGTTTAAAGTATGGAAATTGGGTTTTGATTAGAAGAATGGGCAACTTTTCAGGCAAATGAGTCTGATCAATCTTTTAACAGGTTAGTCTGTCTTGTATTCAAATTCATGATGAAAAGTTTGAAGTACAGACTACTGAAACAAGCTTTGGTAGCCATGTATTGTTGCTGACACAATGCTGGTGCAATTGAAACTGGAAACTAAAAGAATGTTGTATGGCCCGATATGAATGAACCCTCCAAACTTTTAATTCACACCAGAGCAAAGGGGATTAGGTGTATCATATATATATATATCATTTCCAACAATGCTATGAAATAAATGCCTAACCTACATTATCACCAATAAAATCATAAACAATACAGAGATACATAAATTATAAAAATGACATACAAGTTATAACTATATAGTTCCCAGTTGACCTTTTTTGAAAATATTGTGGTTACCTCATTTAGTTTGTGGGACTGTTACATTGTATTGCATTATACTGAGTGATGATCATAATATTTTGCCCAACCCAGTTATATCATTAAAAGTGGAATATTAAAAACACTACTCAGTATAATGCAACACAACTATAAACCAGCCACAAAGTACAGTATCCAAAATGCCAAAAAATGTGAACAAACATCTCTCTAAAGAAATATTAGATACTTTTTTAATGTGTATTTTATATTATTGCAGGAATGCTGTATTACACTGGTGTACCTAATAAACTGGTGACTAAGTGTATGTAGGTACCCTTTTATAAAATTGATGGTGAACAGTTTTGTTATGAATAGTGAGAGAGGACTCAAGTACAGACACAGGGATATTTGAGGTAAAAAGGTTTATTGTTTAAGTTCAGGGGGAAGATGAAGAGGGCTGATGGCGAGGGGAGATAAGGAGATGGAAGATAGCATGGATGCAGCTGGCGGAGAACCTACCTGAGTGTTGCAGGGTCAGCAGGCAGGGAGACCTGATCTAATCATGGAGACACAAAGAGAAACTGTGATGTAAAACACAAAATCACGACCAACTCAGGATAACGATACTGAGCGACCGAGACTGAGACACTACAAACCGTGTAAACAACAATCAATGAATGGATGGCAGATTGTAGATATACTGTAGAGTAGTTGAGCTGATGGCTGGCAAGTGCGCAAGTCGGAGCAGATGAGCTGAATGCAATCAGGAGGGCGCTATACCGCACACACACACAAAAACTGACGGGGCAGACGGATGTGGAAACACAGGGGGAAAACACTGAAGGCACACCTTACCAATGAGAATATTGCTTTTGCTTTTTTACAAAATACAATAAAATTCTGTGGAATTTGGTGGAAATTTCATAAAATAATGTGCCAAAATTTTTTTCCTACCTCCAGACGGATGTGAATCCGATGTGAATTCAGCAAGGCTTTTTTATTTGAATTTTGATTTTAAGATAATGGAAACATCTGGTTGGATCTTGATGATGATTAAATGTTTGTGATGGTGCAGCGTTGACAGATGTACATATTTTCAAGAAAACTGTAAACATGCAAAAACATGCCATCTTTGAGGTTTTTTCTCCTTCCAACTGTAAGTCTCTGGTCAGCTGATGCGGGTGTAAAAGGAATTCTATCACAAAGTATAAGGGCCACATTAAGGGGAAAAAAGTTAAGGTTGAAGATTTTTTATTTATTTTGCATTTTGAGAATTAAGTCGAAATGTCGACAGCTTTTGCTTTCAGGTAAGAATACAGTTGCAGCACTTCAGAAACTCACCTGTACACTAATGAATATAACATATATGTCGATGATGTAGTTGATGACAGCTGGTATGGTGGACAGTCACTCTAAAATGATTTGACTGAAGGAGTTGACTACATTCTTGTCATCTGAACTTTAATCTGAATATTTTGTCTTTATTTTTAAAAGGGTACTTAATTAATGAATATAAAAATAAACTAGAATGTGCACTCAAATTTAATATGAAGGGTTGTGTCTCATTTGCCCACTGTAGTACTACAATTTGGCATAGGTTTGGAGTCCCTCAGTCACATAACACGGAAGCTATTGGGAGAGTTTTTTCCATAAAAATATTACTAATTAAAGCTGCAAGCAGCTTTGGACAGACCCTTGCATGATGATGCACATCGGGGCATGCTGTGGCCATGGTGCAGTTGCCAGAGGTCATCAGCATGGCTCTTAAATATCATGTGTTTTTGACGCCCACGAAGCAGTTAAACATCACTTTCTTTAGATTGCACGGTACGAAATGTGTAAATCAACAAAAATTACCATTCATTTTAAAATGGCTATCTTCCTGTGCCACAAAAAATTCAAAAGTCAAATGCAATGCAGGAGCTGCTTCGTTAAAGGGTCACATCCTGTTGCCAGTAGGTGGCGCTATGACTTTGGGTGATTATTAGCATATGGATGTCTTCAGGGCGGGAGTCATCAGACCCGTCAAATTTGGTATAGATATGATCATGTACAGTGAAGTTATTAAAACTAACTGTTCATGGTAAATCACTGTTTTTCGACGCCACACCACGGACACACACTTCGATGAAAATTCACAGATAGCACAGCTTTTCATTGTCAGTGCCTTTAGATTGCGCAGCACAAATCTGAAGTCGATTGCATTAATTCTGTACAGAATCTGTAAATCTCCAAAAATTATCATTAAATACAAAATGGCCGACATCATGACATGAGAAACAGGGCCCTGGGGCTGCTCTTTAGGGGGCGCTAGCAAGCCTTTTCAATAAATTCATTCAATCAATCAACAAAATTTATCTCGGTCCTCACTCATAATTTTCCAAAACGAAAAAAGGAAAACAATGAAAATAAAACAGTATATACATGTATAACAACCGAAAAAGGTGTAGACTGAAGCCTATGCTTATTGTGCCTACCGTTTTTACATAATTATCTAATGAGCGTCACTTTTCTCTCTGGATTTAATCCATTCAAAATAAACGTACAGTTACATAAAAAAAAAAAGGAAAAGAAAAATTTCCAAGATGTTCATACATGATTACAGTTGTACACATCTCAGATATACTGACTTTCTCTGGTTCATAATAGTCAGTCCGTTTTACAATCCTTAAAGCTGATGATACACGGAGCAACTTTTAGAGCAATGGTCCAGGGCAATGTTGCCGTCAATGGTAATGAGTAAAGATTACTACCGTAATCTCCTTCCTCCATCACTCCACCACCCTCTCCGCACCACCACTATACGTTCAAAACATAGTCAGACTTGCCACTAGCAAGATTGCCCAGGGAAATAGTCCTTATGGATGTTAATAAACTCCCCATCGTCAATATCTCTGTATGGGAACAAAAAATCCTTTTCAATGTCCATCATTTATTTTGTGATATATGACTCCATATGATATTCCTTCACATAGTCCTCACTTGTAACACAAACCACAGTTATCGTTTATCATGGGTATTCCTCCACATGCAGTAGTTCTCACTTATCCATACTGGTCCAATTCTTTGAGTTCTCTTATTGTGAGTACTTTAGCTTCTTCAG